CATATGGTTGACTTATTCCAATTATAGAGTACAAGAGGAAGTGGATTCAAAACGGATCGAAATCTGCCTCGTGAAATGCTTTAAACTTGTTTCTTGCATTTTATTGGTTTAGAGAAAGAAAAAAGTTAGCTTTTGAAGTGTGTGGGAGATGGTACTCCCTGCTCTCTCAGACCCATGAATAGATACTAAAGTTTTCAGCAATATCAACCAAGAATCATAACTTTAGCAATATCAACCAAGAATCATACTTTTGACAGATTATCAAACAAAAAGTTAGCCACTTTTATGTGTTCATAGTTGGTTTCTAGCTAGTGATCACAACTCTATATTAAAAAAAAAAAAAAAATCCGAAACTGATTGGAATTGGAAAAGATGATGAGCCTTTACCAATTCTGTCTCTGAATCAACCCCCACCTCCTGCAGAAATTTGTGAAAATATAAACGATTAAGAAAATCAACATTGACTTAAACGAGTAAAGCTTGAACGAATTCAAAAGGAAAACAGAAAAAAAAAAAAATTACCTTTTCCTGCTCCGCCTTCAATTCCTGGAATATAATGAGTAAATTTTCCGGAATCCAGTCCATTTTTGGGTGCCGTCAACGAATTCATTCTTAGATGGAGCTAAGTCTCACACAATTGCCTTAACCGGTTGTAGATTAGATATCTTGGACTTGAGTCGTTGTCCAGGGTTGATCCGCAAAATGGTCGACCCTGCTCGTTGGAGTAATTTTTTATTGGTGTTGATTTAAAGCACTAATCTAATCTTGTTTGTTTGTTTTGTGTTTTTTTTTTTTTAAGGGATTGCAATTTAGGGGAGGGAACGAACCCCAGATGCCCACTAATCTCCTTATTTTAAAAAATTATATACATATAAAAAAAAAATCACCTCTGTAAATCGACAGAAAAATGATTATTTGATAAGTGTTCTGTTCATGGTGGGGATGTAAACCTCTTTCGTGTTACCTTTCGTGTTACCTTTACTCAAAGGAGATGACTATAAAAAATTGTAGTTATGTTGCATATTATTGTGTATAAATTACATAAATATTATTTAATTTAATTAATATTTTATTAATTTATAATTTGTTCTTAAATAATTAATTATAATATTGAAAAATTTGTTTACAAATTAATGTAATATATTAAATAATAAATATTATTTATTTTATTAGTTATCTATTATTTTTAATAACTAAATCAAACAAAATCAATATTTTTTAAAATAATTTTGTGTCTTAATAAAATAATATATAATCATAACTACATCTATTTTTGGTAGAATTATTGTTATATCTTAAATAGTTAATATTATACAATTTTAATTTTAATGTAATTATTTATTATATTTTTACATTACATTTTTTTTCAAAAATTTACATTTTGTAATTATAACTACATCTATTTTTGGTAGAATTATTGTTATATCTTAAATAGTTAATGTTATACAATTTTAATTTTAATGTAATTATTTATTATATTTTTACATTACATTTTTTTTCAAAAATTTACATTTTGTATTT